AGAAAAAAAAATTGTCTTATACCTATACACGCGTAACAAATTTTGTAATTGCTTTAAATATTACATACTTGATTTTCCTTTAAGTATTGAGATTGGATTTTGTGTATGATGTAAATTAGAAGATTATACTAAATATATAAAAGTCGAACAAAATTGCTTCTATGATGTAAATTAATATTATATTATCTTGTTTTATAATTCCTCTTTTCAGAAGATTTATTTTTGTGGGTATTCTCTCTAACAAGTTTTAAAATAGCTGTTGTTTTTAATACCCTCTTTTGATTTTATTATGATTTGGTGAATTGTGTTAATATTGAGTAACATTGGAATATGTTTTGAGTTAGATTGAGAAGTGTTTAAATGAGTTCTGATATAAGGGAGTCTCGCTCAAGCGAGGCTGAGCGCCTAGAAGACCTGATTTCAGAGCAATCTCGTTAAGAGATACGTCTCATTCAAGCGAGACAGGATAAACATGGCCTAATTGTCCTCTCGTTCAGGCGAAGATGAATAGCTCAAGCAAGGACTCACAAAAAAAGTTGCCAACTCTTTAGACATCATCTCACTCAAGCGAGAATATCATAAAATAGTTAGAAAAACCATTGTCTGTATATCTCGCTCAGGCGAGATATGTCTCGCCCAAGTGAGGTCTTCCTTGCTCAAGCGAGAATTTCTCGCTTAAGCGAGAGCGCGCGAGATCTAAGGGTATTTAAGAGATTTTTAGCATGATAAATTTTATTTTATATTCTAAATCACATTCCCTCTCCATTTTCTCAGATAAAACCTAATCAAACTCTGATCGTTGCCCAATTCCAAACTTGGATGTTTGATTTAAACGATTCCAAGTAAGTTTTTTTGAGTTTGATTTTGGATTTCTGTTTGTTTTTTATTTCCTAAGGATCTCGTGGTATCTAGGGAAAAGCTTTCGTTGTTAAGTAATATTCTGTATCAAGCTCTCTCCAAATCTTCATCTAGAGGTAAGGAGAGCTCTATTTTATCTTTATTAAAATGTATATTTTGTACTTTATGGGAGCATTATTATGTGATTATTGTATGAGAATATATATTTGAATAATAGTACTTGTGATAAAAAGCTGATGATATAAGTGTTTGATTGTTTAGTTTGAGTAATCAAGTTGTGTTAACATGAAATACTTGATGAGAACTTAGTGTAGGTGTATGAAAATGATGATGCATATTGGAAAGTGTTAAATGTATTATGGTATATGTTGGCTGAAAATGGCTATATTGTATTAGTAATACATGTTTGAAAATTGTATTTCTATACTGTGAGTGGAAAGGACTTAGTCTGTAAGTACTTTATAAAGCACAATCTTGTGATTGGAAAAAGTTATGAATATGGGATGAATATAAAGTACTGGATATATATAGTATGAATAGTTACAGAGATACATTGAGGATATAGAATTCGAAGACGATGAGAAATCTGAGAAAATGTAGGGTGGTGAGCGACATTCGCATATATGTATACACTCTATCTGAAAGCAAATGCATCACATTACTTCACACTCGTTTCCTGACTAAACTCTTGACTATAACTTTGTTAAAGAGCTCATTATTGTATACGTTGTATGTGTATACATTGGCTAATTGGTAACTATTTACCTAGCTGAGTAAGACTTCAAGAACTGCTAGAAGCATCATACATCTATGATCATAGTGCACTGAAAGTGCGTAATTGAGCGAGAGAAATATATTGATTTGTGATGGACTTCTATGTGTATAAAATTATATGAGAATTGTTGATATGTTAATTTGTGATTGAAATTATAAAGTTATCTTTTATTCCATAATTATAATTGTGTTATGATATTAATCATTGAAATTGAGTTATGTTAAATGGTAAAGTGAATGCTCATTCTTACTAACTATTTCAAGAAACAAAGATGGCGAGTCCCCAAAGAAGGATTAGTCTAGAGAATGTATTGTACATAATAACATAATAGACTAGATTATGTTTTTAGGGAATATCATAAGTTTGTACATCTTACTTTAAATGTTAATTTTGGAAATAATGAATTATGTACTTTAAAAATAATTTCAAATTATGATATACCTTTTAATTATCCTAGAAACAGTAGAATTCACCATGTTCTATGTGTTTATATTTACCGAGGCACTATTAGGCCTCCAAGAATTGTAAATAATATGTATACTTATCAAGATCATGAATCTTTTGGGTAGACCTATTTGGTGGACCTTTGAGAGTTTCACTAGTAGAGACTATAACAGATTCTAAAGATGCTTATCTTGGATAAGATGAAGAGTTGACTAACGTAGATATAGTTGAGATAGAGGACTAATATAGTGGAGATGACCAGCACTGTATTTCCAGTTTGCTTTTGATGTTTGGACAATAACTACTTGTAGGATTTATTTTATTTTGGTTAAGTATTTATTTATTTTAAATCCTACAATAACAATTTGTAAATTATTATGATGTGTAAATAGAAATGATACTTAGTAGTTGATTTTAAATCAGCAATAAACATGATTAATATATATCTTTTCAATTTACCTTGCATTATTTTATTTTATTGATAAAATTTGTGAAAGGTTTATATTTCAAAAAAGTTTTAAAAATTTTCTCATTTTTTCCTTATCAGTTTAATAAAAAATTATTTTATTTTATATGAATATAGAGTATTATTCATATTTTAAATATATAAAAAGTAAGATGTCACACTAATGACCATAATCTTTGATAGTGTGTCTATCTAAAAGTCTAAAATATCAAAAGTATAAATTATAATTCTTAAAGTATGTTTAATTACATGCTACTTCAAATTTTTATTTATGTATTTGTAAATAGAAAAAAGTCTAACAAAATAAGGAATCTAATATTTTTGTGATGATTATTTAATAAACTTCTTAATTCTCTTCAACATAATGCGTATTTCACCATTTTTATTTCACATTGCTTATGTAAAGTATTTCATTTTACTTCTAGAATCATGTATGGATAGTCATAATTGTTCTTTCAAAAAAAAAAAATTGGGAGTGATTTTTGTGCAAAAGGAGTTTCGAACTTTGTGCTTAAAATTTCTGATTTAAGGAATTTCTTGCATATATAAGGACAGGCTTGGTGACCAGCCTTGACATGAAACAAATCATTGAAAAGGTTTACGAGCCAAACCTAAAATTAAGCGAATTATAGATATATCACTTTTTGAATCACCCAATTTTAAGCTTTTTTTATTTAAATAATATATTTTTTAAAATAATTTCTTAAAATAAAAATTTTTAAAACTAATTTTTTGTCTGATGCTTTTTTGGTCATGTAAGCAGTAATATCACTCATGTATGGACGATACTAAATCTTATTATTATTTTAATAAGTTATCATCTTCAAATTATTGATACTATCTAGAAACTGATACGTGTCACGTGTATTAGACAAAATAGAATGATAGTAAAAAAATTGTATTATTTTAATAAATATCAAAAGAAATATGACGATAATAAATTTTTTATTATTTTTTTAATATGTTATCATCCGATAATAACCGATACTATATGTAAATCTAAGTATTGGACAAGCTTATCATTTGAAAATGACTAATTTTACATTCAAATATCATAAATATTTGTCATTAGAATAAATTGATGTTAGAATACATTACAAAATAATTTTGTTGTCTAAGGGTCAAGTTATCATTTCAATATTAATATTGAGTTATTAAGCATTCCATGTTCACACTTTAAAGCATGCAAATAAAAGGAACTATTATAGTTATATTTCAATGATTCAATACGTCTTACTTTAGTTAAAATGTAATTTTTATAATTTCACTACTTTATATATATATATATATATATATATATATATATAATTTTATTTTTTGTTTCTTTTTCATTAACAATTATGTGTTTCTATACAAGTAATTAAACTTAATTTTAATTAAATTATAGTGAATGAATAAGAGTAATAACTTTAATGGAATAAATAAAAAATATATAAAAAATTCAATAATAAATACATCAATTGCTGTGTGATTTTGATCAGATAATACTAAATATACTTAAAATATTATACCCAAATGTTCTCTCTTATATGATTCAGTATGATTGTATGTACATTTTGTCTATACTAGCAACAACTAAGCTTATTCGACGATGTATACATAGTATCAGCCTATTAAAATAATAATAAAAACTTACTATCATCCATACATGGACAATACTGCTTCCGATATGGCTAAAAAAAGCACTAGACAGAAAATAAATTTTAAAAATATCTTATTTTGATAAATTGTTTTAAAAAATATATTATTTAAATTAAAAAAAAAACCCCAATTTTACTAGTTGCACGCTCTTGTTTTTTTGAAATTTAATTTTCAAAAGCATATTTAATATGATTTGATAAATAAATTTCAAAAGTCCTTTACATGCCATTTCCAGGATTTAGTTTTTGGAATATACTAAACATACCTCCAAAAGTTTTAAAGTAATAAAACAAGTTAAGCCTATTTATGAAAAGTCTTGCCTAACCTATCTTACTTATATCCTTATTTATAAGGTGTGTTTGGGTAAGTAGTTCAATTAAATATTTATTTTATAAATTATTTTTAAAAGAGTTTTACAGTATAAATTTGATTATAAAACTTGTCAGAATAAGCTGAAAAGAGTTTATTTTGATAAGATGTATAAAGAAACTTATTAAAATCATACCTATTTTCATAAGTTCTTCATAAACTCTTCCAAGTTCATAAACTTTAAACTAAAGATAACTAACAAAAATAATAATTAAGATAAGATCACCTGCCTACATCTTTATTTTACCCAAACTAACTTATAAGCTAGTCAAATAAACTGTAAACTAAAGTAAATGACAAACAGCCTAGTGCCACTTATAACTCATATCTCTACTCTTACACACTATTTTATGGAAGTTGAGAGTAAAATATGGGGCATCCCCTGTCTAAACAACAGTAGAATGTACTGCATAAACGACAAAGTGAACTGCTTCCCAGCCATGTACATTATCGGTATAGCGTTTTAAAGAATCCTCAACAAGTGAATATGAAATGCCTACCATTTCCATTGCACAACATATATATGGACGTAGTAGACCTCCTACTTTGAAGTCCCCCAACCCATAAAGAGAAGAAAAAAATAGTCACCAAACAATGTAAAGATCTGAAACTATATGCTGCAGCAAACTTCCAGATTGAACAATATACAGGAGCATATTATATATTGGTTACTTATCCAGTAGGAAATGAAACCAAGCAAATTTTTAAACATCTTTTATCTCAACATTTCCTAAGATGTAGCTCAATGTGCTGGCACATGGATCTGCAGATAACCATCGATGATGACCAGTGTTTCCACTGCTTAAACCACCTTGGCATCATTGGAATTGTCTCTAGGACGCATGAAGTTAACGAGAAAAGAGTCCATAATAATCTACAAAGACTTTTAGGTTAGCATGAGGATGAAAATATTAGAAACTGGTTTAGAAAAAAATCAAATGACCTGGTTTAGATGTGCTGCAACGCAAGGAAGAACTAGTAACCCGGATTCTCCAAATGCACCTTGAAGTGGCTCTATCACTGCTACCATTACTGGTAATGTTTTCTGAAAGGTATGAAAACATGTTTGGACAGAAGATCAAGAGAAGGATAACACCTTGTCTCATAAGTTGATACTCATTTCCCAACAGATCTGGGAAATTAATTACTTATTGAGTTATTACCTGGCTTGCAACAAGTACGAGTGCACTGGCATTTTCTTCCTGCGAAAAAATTGATTTTCTACCACCAGTGATAACAGAAATACTCCGGACAGCAATGCTATTGAATACCAACAATGTCAGATGAAGAAGTCTGCAATGTATAATGAAGGTCAATTTTAGTTACTATAACTACATCGGTGCTGATAGTGATAGTCCTTTACAACAATCAAATAATGGTGACTAATTCTATTAAATTGCACGCCAGCGCCCCCTTTGAACCCTTAATCATACAAAGAAAGTACCAGAAAAGATCTCTATGTTGAGCAAGACTTTATGCGATCAGAACAGAATACTATACATATGCACAAATATAAGATGGCCAATATATTTAGTGCCTTGAGTATTAAATCAATGTCAGTTAAAAAGTAAAACCATTTTGATGGATTTCAATAACAAATGTTCCATTTTCCAATTTAATGAATTCAATCTTATCAAAGAAATACCTAATTAAAATAGAGTCAAGCATATATGGGCAATCAGAAAACAGTACTATATTAAATGGTTGTATCAGTACCTGTCACATAGGCACATACCATTAAATGTTTACAAATTATGGACGCAGGAACTCATTTTGGTTAACTATTCATTGAAGAATGAAATATAAGATAATTCTCAAATTTTGTGCTTTAACTTAATACTATCAAAACAAAAAACTAGTTAAGAGAAAACTACCAATAACAGATTTCAGTTATGTCATGATGGCAACCAAAATGTAAATTAACTCATGCTAACATACGTTCCCAGTCCAATAGCTACAAGAAAAACTCTGGGCTTCACCATTAACAGCAGTGGCCTCGACCTACTCACTTGTATCCAAGGTACCTGCATGGCAATATGTGATTAGCCTAATTTGTGTGTAATTCCTTGACGATAAAATAATAAACCAAATATGATAACTCAAACCGGATAAGGAAATTAATTTCTAAAAAGTTTCTAAGACTAAAGCTTTATAAATGATTTTTGGGGGGGAATAACTACCCATGCATGCAAAGCATTCGTGCATCAACTTAAAAGTTAGCATTTCATGATCAAAGACAATCAAATGGACTTGGATGTAGGAGTGGAAATTGATAGAAACCAGGTATCTTATTAAGAAGAATTAGGGATGAACCCCAGTTACAAGGATAGAACTTCGAGGGACTGCTCCTCCCAAGCCAAAGGCCCTAAACTCTCTCACAATCGATAAGATCCCTCCTCCCCAATCCCTTCTACTTATTTATTGACAGCATCCCTAATTAGATAAGTCAAGCTAGATAACTAACACATTATAACTAACTACTAATGGGTACCTAACATATTGTCACTAATGTGAGTTACCTAACAAAAATATTTTCATTTTGAATAATGACGTTGACTTACAGGTATTAGTTTTCACAAAATCTTTAAATTAATGATTTGTCAGCATTATGATTTTTCTGCTCCTGAATGTGCAAAACTGGTTCCTTGGATATATGGATTCAATGGCAAGCGCAAAACAAAGTTTCTCCCTGCAAAACATTCTTATTCACAGGGAGAAAAGTGAAGGGGAGAAGGTGACAAGGACTTATACATCAATAGTCAAGCTGTTATTAACTCAAATCTTCTTAATTGAATTGAATATAGAAAAGTGGAAAAATTATAATTTTCCCCATACAGAAGATTCTTGATACTTAATTGCTGACCAGGTTTCCAAAGATGACAAGAATCAAGGGAGGGAAGAGGATGCAAAACAAATGTAAACATATTATTATAGGAGTCAAGAAAAATCAATTGGCATGTCCCTTGTCTTTATACAATACATGGGTATAATAGTAAGCAATAATAAAATTCTAAAGCTCATGTGAAGCCAGAACAATAATTTCTTGTCCAGAAACTGATGGTTCTTAATTAATTTATTTATTTTTTAGATGGCTCACTTTTTAACAAGTGTTTCATGAATTGATTTAATTGATGGAATGTGCCACTAGTGCAACAATAGAATCAATTACAAAAAGCAGCGAAATGCATCTCATTCATTTCTTATAACTTAAGATTCTGAACATATTAGAAAAACAAAAACTTAAGCAATCTTTCCACCAACTTGATGCAAGGAAAACCCCCAACTTGGAAAAATGGAAATAAGGAATCAATGAAAAGGAATTGTTCTTACTAGGCTAAGGAAAAGTGCACTGATAAATGAGAAAAGCTTGCGGTTTCTATCAACAAAGTCAGCCACACCTGTAATGCAGATTTGATCAAAACAAATATTTTCTAGATAAAGGATAATATTATAGTTAGAAAAAATGAGAAAGTATGCAAACAGAGAATAAGCTATCCTTAAATAAAGGATAAATAAGGGCCTGTTTGTTAAAGCAGAAAAAAGAAAAGAAAGGAAGTGTAACAAGAACCTTGAGAGAACCATGCCACAAAAGCTAGTCTTTGTAGTTAGAGCCTAAGGCCTTATAAACCCTACACTCGAATCTCATACTTTTATGTGAGACTTGAGACCTTGCCATTGGATCCTAACAAAGTGATTATATGGTGCAACTTTATTCTACAGCTATTTTTCATTGAGGTACTATTATTAGCTTTTGAGACAAGCACTCTCTTAAGTTTTTTTAAGATTAATTATTATAAATTTCAGTACACATATCATTTAATTTAAAAAAAAGGTTTGTCCTTAAAAAGAACAAAAAATCAGGCCCTAAATTAGAGTCCTCCTATGCTTCTTCCTATCTACCAAATAAATTGCATTATCTGAACCTGCATATGAGCAAGTCTTGAGTTTTTGAGTACATGTAATGTCCAAAATATGATAAAGGGAAGGATGTGGAAATAACTTTTCAACTACTCAATACCTAATATAGTTTGTCTCAGCAGGATTTTAAATTTTAATGCTATTTTTGGTGACTTAGACTAGGGAGGGAAGAGTTTGTGAATCAGCTCTTTCTTTAGCTGCACACTTGCGTTTGTTCTACTTATTTTGTGTTATTGAGAAGAATTTCTTCCTTCGTAGAGGGGTTTTCCTCAAGTTTTATTCAATTTTCAGTATTAAGTAGTTCCAATCTAAATCAAGTTGATATAAAAGCTCCCAATCTAGTGGAGCTTGGATGGTCTTAACAAGACTGAAGAGCATACGGGTAGCTATCAAAAGACAGATGGAGGGGCTACAACAGAAGCTTCAAGAATCTATCAACTGAAACCTGCAGCAGGCAATGGAGAGGATGACCAAGAGAAAATCAAAGTAGAGGTAATGCATGCATAATTTGCATACCATGCCTACAATGATTAGCATCTAAGTTTCCTATGTTCATTTTAGATTGCATTTTCTTTGTTAGGAATGTTTTATTGTTTTTGTATGTTTATCTTGTAGGTAAGTGAATTTCCAAGAGATGTGCTACATTTGAAGGGAAGGAAAAGCTTGAGAGAAAGACCAAACAATTAAAGATAAGGATTAAAAGAGTTAAGGACCCAATTATGCCTAATGTTTCTTAGCCTCATCGGATTCATCGTATTTGTACAAGTTTGATACATATGATTTTATGCCCTTAAAGCAGTGTGTTGGAAAGGACAAGAGTTGCCATTATAACTTAGGAAACAATAGGCATTTACGAAGCATTGGGAACATTAAGATCTAAGAAGATAGTTCAATTCTTTAGGAAACAAAATCAGAATGCTGAATGTTAAACAACCAAGAAATCCAAAAAAAGCTCTCTTGAAATTTAGTCTCAAGCATGCTCATTTTTCAGGAGTTTGCTATGGCCACAATATTTGATTAAGAATAAGATTAAGCATATGCCTTTTATTTGGTTTTGGTATAAAGCACATACCCTTTTAAATTAGCTTTCCATAAATGATGTGTTGAGGAATTGGCCAGCATTGTGACATTGATTTTTACTTTTTTTCCTTTTGGTGTTCATTAGTGTGGTGTTATTAAGGAGGATTTCTGCAAGAAAGACATTTTGAAAATATTATGTTGACAGAACTGCCCCATAACTATTGGATACCACTTTGCAACTAAGACTTCCAAAGGAAACTCTGCATACAATTTGATTATCAGCTATTTCTCTCATGTAATGATAAGGATCACTTCTTTGTTTTATCTTCAAAACATGTGACAAACAAACTACTCAAACAAGCATAGACAATAGGACACACCTTTAAAAGATTCACGTAGAACCTGCCCATTCAAAGCAATAAAGAACATTAAAATACTTTTAACAAACTCAGTGAAACACAAGAATTTGAGTATTCAGCTCCGAAGAACAATTTCAACCATCACTTATAACAGACAAGTAAACAAATGTGTACTGTCACTGGTGTGCAACTTTGGAAGAAATGAAATAATGCTACAAAATTGAAATGGTCATTTGTTAAAGGATGGAAATACCAAAAACTGAATCAACTATCAAGAAAAAAGTGACAAATTAGGCCATTTGAAAAGATGGCCTACGAATCTATTCATACAACTTTAAATTAGAAAAAATTGAACAGTCACAACCAATCACCCACTATAAGCAATAAGACCCATTCCTCCAGAGACTTTATAGGTTATTGAAGGAGGATTGGATACTAAAAATACAAAATGAGTAAAGTAGAAATGCAGGTAACAAAAAATATTTCTTATTTCATAACAGAATATTGTGTAGCCAAACCCACAATGTAATTGCTCTAGAATTTGGGTTTGAACCTACCTCAACCCCAAAAACTAGCTCATAAAGTCACAAAGCCAAATTGGTTGCACTAAGAAACTCATAGGACCAGGTAAGTTGCATTGGAAAATCCATAGGGTAGGTTAGTTAGTTACACTGGAAAAATTGATGGGGCTAGGTTTATTTTACAGTCAAGGTTGGTCCATTATCGGATCTACAATAGGCTTTGATATCATCTTAAATTTAGGGTTGAGTCTAACTCAATCTCAAAAACCAACTTGTTAAGTAAGGATTGTCTTCATCTTTTTAAGCTCTACTTTGGCCTTATCTATAGTTGACATGAGATCTCAACAGTTGTAAGAATCACCACTGCAGCTTTAGAAAGCAAACAAATATTTTAAACATGAAGTAACCCTCCAGTTAGCCCATGGAGAGAATATAAAAATTTGCAGTCCAGACCACATCATATTGGAAGTAGTCAAACAATACCATACACAATTCAATTACCTTTCCCAAAATAAGGGGAATTAATATGGTCAGAACAAGACTTTTAAATAACTGCTTGGTAGGTAGAGTCACACCAACTCCATCAGCTACAAATTTTGTGATGGAAAGTGGAACCTAAAAGAAGAAGAAAAAATATAATAAAATATAACAAAAACAAGAATTAAATTAGTAGGAGAAAACATATATGTAGGGTATAGAACTGCATATTGCTTAAAAAGGGAAGGATATATAAAAATCAAAATCAAACATGCTGGAATGATATGGTCTTGACTTGATGGAAAAAGAGAGCAGTGTTCAAATATTAATTGTATTATTAATGCAAATATATGAGATGTGATATGTGTTTGATACAAAATGGATGCTTCTCAATGTATGACATTTTGTTACTCTTGCTGAATATGCAATCTTCAGTGTATTTACTTTGTTAGAACATCTTCATATATCTATATCTTTAGAATATCTTGTAAGACTTACAAAATATATTGGGGAATCAATTATTCATCTAACTAGTGTTGTAACAAAGCAGGCGTGGCAGTGCCATGCTGAAATAGCATGGCACAAAATGGAACAAAATGTCATCAGGGTCTACCACTACTCAGCCTCTATCTTTTCATTTCTTCTCACATCTATCCCATGCATATCAAAATACATGTTCCCAAATGCTGCCTCTCCTTGCCATTGATGTGACCCACATGTCACCATTTGACTCGGGGATTCTGTTAGATATCCCACTTGTTGGTTACAAATTACAATCAGTGAAGGGTATCACATGTATAAATAAAATAGGAGAGGAAAGGAGGTCATCTTGTCATTGGTGAGAGAATTGAGTATTTAACATGCTCCCTCACACAAGAGCTCTTTGGACTTGAATCTTGGATAATGCATGACCTATCTTCACCTTGGGCAGAAGCCAGGAATTTCATTTCTATTTAGAAGAATGGGGATGATAAGGATGAAACTCATGGCAACTTAGTCATTGAAATTTTCATATTGTCATAATCAACAACCTCAGAAATTAAATGTTAGGTTATGGTACATGAATGGTTTTATATTGAACAAGTATGACCATAAAGTTAGTGTTTTTCATTACATTATTATGCCCCACATCAAAACAATCTTACCTATTCTAAGTTTTTACTTTCTCTTTCTTTCTCCTTGACAAGTGTTAAACATGACATTTTATTGGTGTTTTTTTGGGAAAATAACAGTGTTTTCATAGTGTACATAATTGTAATCCATAAGAAATTAGTGAAGCTTTGGTGCTCTTTTGTAAATTAGTATTAACATAAATTCTTAAGAAGATTTGTATTAATTTCTCTCCATCTTGGATTAATCATCAATTCAGGGACATTTTGACCTTATTGCATTGACCAGAACCACCGTTAAGCACACAAATCTTGGAGTTAATAGAAATTTTAACTAGTTTGCATTGGCAATGCTGAAATCAGTTGAGAGAATGCAAAAGTCTAAATGATAAGGTTGTCCTCTACCTTTTCAATTTACCATTTCAATTTACTTCATTTTGGTTCCTTACTTTGTTCTTTTAATAACCATAACTAACACTTCAAAACTAAGTCCAATGATCGCCTTGAGTTGGTAGTAGAGTTAGAGTCCAACCCTTGGGGGAATTATACTTGTACCGACACTTTATTGCTTGACATGGCTCAGTACACTTGCCAAATATTTTCTATATTACTCCTCCCCTGCATTAACCTTGTAAATTTAATATAGGATCAAAGTTGTACTATCCCCAATGACCTAGTCCTATTATTGTTTGGCTTGGCAGAGTTACCTAAAATATAGAGCTCCTCTTCCATGATGTCTCTTAAACCCATTGGTAGGGCACAAATTAGAACAATCAAAACTTGAGTTCTTCCCTCTACCTATTATTATTCTACAGCATTTCTCTTGTCAGCAACCATTTCCCTCATGTGCCTGAATGGGGACTGAGAAACTTTCTTATTAATAGTACAACTTCTAGCCAGGCATTTTTCCCATTCTTCCTATATCTGTCATCCAACGTACACTCATCAGGTAGGTGTTTTGTCTCTAACCAACTTAATCATTGTTTCCTACCTTCAGATTGGGTTGTCACCAAAATATCACTGAAAAAGATGTCCTCCTTTTCACTGCTAGTATGAGCGCATCTAAACTTATGGCCACTTTCAACCTCATTCTCAATTGTTGTAACATGTGTATAATAGTCTTATTTCTTGTTTCCTTGCTTGTACAAAATTGGTTTGACTTATCCCTTATTTCTATATTTATTCTACAGATTTGACGCCCATGATCTTAGCATAGTTTTACAATCATACTTGTATATATAGACACAGATTGTACAGTGAAAAATCAACAAAACACAACACAATATTTCTATCAAAATATATTCATTCTTTTTTTCCCATCAAATCAATCCCTAAAATTTAACACAGCCATATAAATAATTTCATAATAAACTTCAAAAAAATATAAATCAAAGATAAAATTGATGAAAATGTTAAATATGCAGCTCTTTATGACTCACAATCAATATTCCTAACATGTTAGATATTACTGTCATCGCAAGAGCTAGTGCAGAATTTCCACCTGCAAGCTGCACAAGCAAAATGGGAAAACTGAGATAAAATCCAACTCCATTGCAGGTGCTTGAATCAAGATATCTAAAAATTTTAAGAATAGAAAGTCAAGAGAAAAACAGAAGAAAGGAAAGGAATGACCAGAACCATACCTGGGTAAGTGCAACACCACTTGATAATGTAGTCGGCATACAGCTAAATATAGCTAGTCCTGTAGAAAAATACAACTAGTACATAAGTTACAGAGTATCAACAGTTTGAAATCTGCAATATATAAGATCAAATTGGAAGAGGGAGTCTGCTGATATTCCTGGAAGTGTTGATCAAAGAATAGAAACACGGTAGCTCCTTCAAAATGTAGCACTTTTCAATATCTGAAGTAAAAATGTAACCTCATCAACTCAGTTATACAAAATGCAAGATATATCCAACCATGTCTCCAAGCTTTTTCGCTTTTTTTTTTTTCTAATTTCTGCATAAAAGTCAGTTTCCCAAATTATAAGTACCTAAATCAATTTATTTTATGTCATTTAGCCCATTGGCATATTCTTTACCAAATATTTTGTTGATCAAGGAATTGTATTTATTGTTAAGAGATAATACAGTTCTATAGGACAGTATCAAGAGAGGGAGAGAAAGAGAGAGAGCTGAGTGTGAAAGAAACTGAAAACTGAATTTTGTATTATTAATCTCAGAAATATTTGATTTAGTACAGAATAGTTTATATAGAATAGTTTATACAGAATACAGTAACTAACTGAAAAGTAGTTACAGGTTCAACAAACTCTAGAAATTAAAAGAAGTATATAACAAACTGACATGGACTACTAACATCCACCACGCTCCACAGCCACAACACCCGCACTGGTTGGATGAGCACTAGCCCCTTGACTAGTCCCAGGCTAACACTGCAATATCAGTGTTAACCCCCACGCCTCTCAATTACAACTAAGGGGCATGATGGAAGGCTCTAATACCAAATGATAAGAACCTTAGGAGAACCACACCATTAAAGGTAGTCATTGTAGTTGAAGAGCCCCAAGCCTTATAAACCCCACACTAAAATCCCATACTTACAATGTGGAAAGTTCTTTGGAGAAATCAGTTAGATTACAAAAACTAAAATCTGTTCAGGAAGCTATGAAAATGACAAGATTACATGAGGAAGATTCAAAAATAGAAGTGGAAGAACATAAAAGGACAGAAACAGAGAAGAACTCAGCAGTTGAGGTGCAGGGCACCAATAATATCATAGAAGAGATTGCAAAGAAAGGTGGTGACACATAGTCAGTTGAGTTGATTATGAAAAGGGAATTTCAGAAATTTAATCAATTTCTTGACCTTGACCAGACTCAGCAGAAGGTAGTGAAGAACTTTGATGATCATCTGCTTCTACCATTTATAATAGTGAAATTTTCAATCAAACCTTGGTTTCTTAGTTGCAGAGGCAATGGTGCTCTGTTTCAGGGCCAAAAGTACAAAAGAAAACAAAGTATTGGAAGAGATTGAGAGCAGTCACATTTGTGTTTGACCCTGGAGGAAAGGAAGCTATTTTTCAATGCAAGGTAGAATTGCAATGGTAATCATGCTTCAATCAATTGGACTTTATTTCAGCAGCTACTTAAGGCATTACTTATTCCTTCACCTTGAGAACAAGGTGAAACCCCCATTAGTACTTTGTTATGATATGTTAGTCAGGGACCCATGAGTAGTTAGTTATATTAGTTAGTCTAAATTAGTTAGTAGTTCAACAAGCTGAGATTGTCCAAGAAATAATGCTGATGCCTCCATAAATAGGAGGGTGGTTGAGAGAGAGGTCAGCTTGTCAATGGTAAGAGACTTAGGGCCTTTGACTTAGGAAGTTCACTTCCCTCAAAGAACTGTTGAGTGTGAGTTTTATTCTGTAAAGTGGGGAGTTCCACCTTGTGTTTCCTAATAAAGATGCCATGTTTCTATCAGTCTTCAACATCGAAAGTTGAGTATCTTAAACCTGGACAAACAGTATACAAGGTATTGCAATGCAATCAAAAGTTAAGTAGCGGTTATTCAATGTTTGATAAGATTCAAGGTCATCAATATACAAAAATGAGGTTACACAAGCTCAAAACAATTAAATCTATTATAAAAGTATCTAGCAAATATCTAAACCGGACTTATGCTTAAGGTAGAACAAAACTAAATGGCTAAACCTGTAATAAATTCCTGGGGTTGGAGCTGAATTTGTAATATTATTCTGGAAAAGTATGGTGAAAGGAATAAAATAGACACCTGCAAAAATAACCAAAGAATATGTGAAACACTTAGACACATAAAAATAATAGTTGAGATTTTATTTTTAGAACATGTGCGGACATACAAGAACAAGTTTTGACATAATTCTATTTGATAGGATAATGGCGTCAATTGGTCCATCTAGACAAACCCACCAAACAAGACAAAACTTAGTTTTAGCTATTGTATAGCCAATATGACAAGAAATACAGCAATTCAATTTCACAAGTTAAAACTTTATTCTTGACCACAAATGTAAAAGGCTCAAAGCCACAATAAGATATGAAATTTCATTTTAGTCTCAAGGTTGCCGATAGTGTCCAACAACATTAAAGAAAACCATGTCCTAATTTTTGTCTTTGGTTACTCTAAGAAAACTTATTTTTGTTATACGTAATTAGTTATTAATAGATAATAAGTTGTTAATAGATAAGATTAGTTAGTTAAATCATTAGCCAATAGTTATCTTGAAAAGATATATAAATAGCTAACTTTGTACATTGAAGAATTATGTACGGAATATAAACTTGTGCAAACTTTGTTAAGTTATGTTGGCCTCGTGTGTAAATGAGTGTGCGTTCTATTCTCGAAGAGTAGAAGTTAGGAATTGATCCTAACAATTGGTATCAGAATAGCCGACTACGATGGGTGGTTCAACCACAAACAAAGATTTGGAGATCAGAATTGACGGGCTTGAGAAACTGATGGAATCCTCCCAACAAGAAAATTTGAAGATTCACCAAAAAAACTAGAAAGCGTTCACGGAATCACAAAAGAGTCATAAGGCGGACATCGATTCGATGAAGGCGATGATGGTGCAACTCCTTGCGACATTCACAGAGCACGAAGAAGAAGGCGAGTCTAACCCTGATGCTAGCAAGATTATCACACAAACTCATATTGCGTTTCCTACGTTCGATGGTACAAATTATCATGATTGGCGTGCCAAAGCTGAGCAATTTTTTGACTTGGAAAACACCCCTGATGCACAACACAGTAAACTTTTGCTTTTGTCTATGGAGGGAAAAGCTTTTACTTGGCAACGCCACTATACTGCACACAATCGATCCAAGTTACCTTCTTGGAAGATTATTTTGTGTAATGTTGCTTGTCGATTTGATTCGAGGAATTATGATGATCCTGTTGCTGAATTGTCAAAATTACGGCAAGACGGAACATTGAGTGATTACATGGAACAGTTTGATGAACTCTTGGCAAGGGTGGTTGTGTCTGAAGATATGGCAATCAGTTTTTTCTAGGGAGGCTTAAACACTTCTTTGGAAAAATCTGTACGTCTCCATGTCCTGCGGACAGTTCAAGACGCCATGAGAGTTGCACGACTGCAACATGAGATCTTCATGGATTTGGAAACTAAGTTTCGTGTGCCACGACCTTATGGCTCTGAGGGCACCAGGGGCAGTTCTAGAAGCTGGTCTTCCGCTAGCTATGTGCCGAAAACAACCCCAATCACAAGTCTTCAGCAAACCAATCCTCCACTATCTACGAACTCTACTATCGCTAAGGAAGGTAAAACCAGCGTAGCAGTACTTACCAACAAGAAGAAGATGAATGATCAGATATCCAAGGGATTATGCAGATTTTGTGGCGAGACTTGGGACAGGTTTCACAGGCAGAAGTGTAAAGTTTGGGGAAGGTTAATTGCCATATTTGCTGCTCAAGGAACTGAGGATGAAGATGGAATTGCGGCTAATGAATTGGATCCAGACGATGAGGTGTTGGCCATTAGTGATCAGCAGATGAAGATGTTCAAATTTCTCTTCATGCCTTAAAGGGGGTTGCTGGTGGGCAAACCTTGCAGCTGCAAGGGACTATTAAGAGGCAAAAGGTTCCATTTTTAATGGACACTAGCAGCACTCACAACTTTGCGAGTGATCGATAGGTTAAAAGCTTAGGGTTGAAGACTCATTTTGTAAGAGAGTTCCCTGTCTTGGTTGCTAGTGACAAACCAATTATGATTAATAGAAAATGTGCTCAATTGAAATGGCAATTTAACAAACATGAGTTTGTGGGAGACTTTTTGGTGTTACCTGGGTCTCACTATGGAGTCATCCTTGGGATGCAATGGTTAAAAACCTTAGGGGAAATTTGCTGGAATTGTGCACAATTGACAATGCAGTTTGAACACAATCGGGAAGTGGTCCTTTTGGAAGGCGAGAAGCACACGGGAAGCATTCAGGAATCTGCCGGGAAAGTCAAAGCAGTGGCCAGTCAAGCTATGTTATTAGCCATTGCTTCTATTAGTGATGACTTAAGGCTTACTAGCATTATCAAGGAAGATGTGGACCTCTCTGTAGTGCAAAATACAGCACTGACACACCTCCTACAACAGTATGATCATCTATTTAGGGAACCGACAGAATTACCTCCTTCCAGAAAGTATGATCACAAGATCAATTTGATGAATGATACGCCTATTTGTTCGAAGCCTTATCAATACCCTCATGCCCAGAAGACAGAAGGGTCGATTTGCCTGAGTCGCCGTTGGGATTCAATGTCGCAAGGAGTTGCGTCATCATTGCCTTCATCGAATCTATGTCCGCCTTATGACTCTTTTGCGATTCTGTGAATGCTTTCTGGTTTTCTTGGTGAATCTTCAAATTTTCTTGTTGGGAGGATTCCATCAATTTCTCAAGCCCGTCAATTCTGATCTCTAAATCTTTGTTTGTGGCATTATAGCCGGCTATTCTGATACTAATTGTTAGAATCAATTCCTAACTTCTACTCTTCGAGAATAGAACGCACACTCGTTTACACACAAGGCCAACAGAACTTAACAAAGTCTACACAAGTTTATATTCCGTACATAATTCTTCAATGTACAAAGTTAGCTATTTATATATCTTTTCAAGATAACTATTGGCTAATAATTTAACTAACTAATCTTATCTATTAACATTTAAATCCTATCTATTAACAACTTATTATCTATTAATAACTAATTACGTATAACAGTAGGTATGATCACAAGATCAATTTGATGAATGATACGCCTATTTGTTTAAAGCCTTATCGATACCCCATGCCCAGAAGACCAAAATCGAGAGATTGGTAGAAGAGATGCTAGACACGGGATTCATTAGAGAAAGCCATTGTGCCTTTGCTTCTCCCATTGTGCTAGTCAAAAAGAAGGACGGGACGTGGCAGTTCTGCACAGAGTATAGGAAACTTAATGTAGCAACCATTAAAAACAAATTTCCTATACCCTTAATAGATGACTTGTTGGATGAATTAGGAGATGCCTGCTACTTCACTAAGCTTGATTTACGGAGTGGTTACCATCAAATCCAAATGCTTGAGGAGGACATCCATAAAACGGCATTTCGCACACACAGCGGCCTTTATGAGTGGGTTGTGCTTCCCTTTGGGTTGAGTAACGCCCCGGCAACTTTTCAGAATTTTATGAACGACATCTTTCGTCCCTACATGAGAAAATTTATTCTAGTATTTTTTTATGACATTTTGATATATACCAAAACTTGGGAGGACCACTTGGAGTGCTTACTACTTACTTTGCAGATTTTGGAAAGCAACAGCTTAGTGCTAAACAAAAAGAAGTGTACTTTTGGACAGTCATGTGTCGAATACTTGGGACATGTGATATCTTTAAAAGTGGTTGCACCGGATCCACAAAAGATTGCCGCTATGTTGAGTTGGGCAGTTCCTACTTTGATTAAGCAGCTCCAGAGTTTCTTAGGGCTATCCGGCTATTATAGACGGTTTATTCAAAATTATGGCAAAATAGCTATGCCATTAACAGCCTTGCTACAAAAGGATGCCGAATTTCAGTGGAGTGCAACTGCAAATATGGCATTTCAGCACCTTAAACAAGCTTTGGTGCAAGCATCAGTCTTGGCTCTACCTAATTTTGAGGCTGAATTTACAGTCGAGACGGATGCTTCGGGAGAAGGTATTGGAGCAGTTCTTCTTCATAAAGGACACCTTGTTGCCTATGTTAGTAAAGTCATAGGCAAAAGGTATTCCCTGCTTTCTGCTTATAATAAAAAAATTTATGCCATTCTGTTTGCTATAAAGAAGTGGCAATACTACTTTTTGGGCCATCACTTTGTCATCAAAACAGACCAGAAAGCACTCAAGCATTTACTTGAACAGCTGCCAACCACACTTATGCAGAATTGGGGATTAGAAAAGTTGATGGGCTTAGATTTTACCATTGAGTATAAAAAAGGCAGAGAAAACATTGTTGCTGATGTGTTATTGAGGAAGGAAGTGGGAGGCAGCTTAACAACAATCTATCAGGTCGGTTCGGATTTGCAACAGGAGGTTAAACTGACATGGCAATCTGATAGGAAACTGCAGAAAATTATTGATAAAATGAGGGTCACTGGCCGTGATTACAAGCATTACAGATGGGATGGAGGAATTTTGAAGCAGAAAGGGAAATTAGTGGTAGGCAATGATAACCAGCTCAAAGACAAACTGTTAACTTATTTCCATTCATCTTGATTGGTGGACATTCGGGAAGCACTCAGACATACAAGAAGATGCGAGAATTATTTTGGTGGAAAGGCATGCAACAAGCAGTCAAGAATTGGGTCAGAAAATGTGATGTGTGTCAAAGATTCAAACCACAGTTATTTGCACCTTTTCAACCGCTCCCGATCCCAAATCAAGCATGGCAATCAATTGCGATGGACTTCATTGTTCAGTTGCCAAAATCTGTTGGGAAAACCATTATTCTAGTGGTCATTGACCGACTAACTAAATATGCGCATTTCATAGCATTGAGCCATCCCATTAGTGCGGCTAAAGTGGCCCATCTATTCATCGACAACATCGTTAAGCTACATGGTTGGCCAAGTCAAATAGTGTCTAACAAGGATCCAATTTTTATGAGCGCCTTTTGGACAGATTTATTCAAGTTACATGGGGTTGAATTGCTGAAGTCTACGGCCTTCCACCCCCAAACCGACGGTCAATCTGAGGCATTGAATAAGGTTTTGGAAGGATATCTCAGGTGTGTCACTGGGAATGTGCCTAGTAAATGGGTGGAGTATCTAAGTTTTGCTGAATATTGGTATAACACGAAATTCCATTCGGCGACGGGGATGACCCCATTTGAAGCCTTATACGGTTATCCGCCAACTTCTAGTCAACCACTAATAGTCGGTGATTCATTGGTTCAAGCCGTGGATCATGTGGTCAAGTCAAGAGAAGAAATAGCACACTTGCTACACGCCAACATTACAAAGGCTCAGGACAGAATGAAGTACTATGCTGATTTGAAGCGGTCTGATAAGGTGTTCAATTGTGGAGATTGGGTCTACTTGAAGATTCAGCCTCACAAGCAGCATTCCGTTCCCAATTCTTCATTCCACAAGTTAGCAGCTCGTTATTATGGACCTTTTTGTGTGGTGGAGAAGATAGGGAAGGTAGCTTATCGATTGGAGTTGCCTGAAGGCACAAAGATACATGATGTTTTTCATATGTCGTTGTTGAAGAAACACCATGGCGGACACTTGGTCATATTAGGTCATGTTTTACAGAAGCCAGGGACTTTGAAACCAAGTCAATCGACATTTTAGACAGACGAATGAAAAAGAAGGGGAACCGGGCAGTGACTGAGATTCTAGTTCATTGGGCTCATACAGGTGTTGAAGATGCAACTTGGCATGAATTATATCAGCTGCAGTTACAATTTCCACATATTGACTGGCGTTCCTTGTTGGCAAAAGGGAATGATATGACCTTGAGGGCAAGACCTTCTGAAGGAGGGGATACTGTTATACGTAATTAGTTATTAATAGATAATAAGTTGTTAATAGATAGGATTTAAATGTTAATAGATAAGATTAGTTAGTTAAATCATTAGTCAATAGTTATTTTGAAAAGATATATAAATAGCTAACTCTGTACATTGAAGAATTATGTACAGAATATAAACTTGGGCAAACTTTGTTAAGTTCTGTTGGCCTCGTGTGTAAACGAGTGTGCGTTCTATTCTCGAAGAGTAGAAGTTAGGAATTGATCCTAACAATTTTTATCCTAAAATTATACAGATATATGTAAGTTAATCATAAATTTGCAGAAACATTTCAGTTAAACAATAAGAGTCCAAACACAGATCTAGGTTAGATTAATGATTAATCATTGTTGCAATTTTAGGTTAGATTAATCAAATCCAGCCTGGCCAACACAAACACAGGCTGCAGAGAACCAGCCTATAAAGTGCATCCATATGAAAATCATGTCCTTACTAGTCCAAAGAGTCCAACAGGCCATGCTTCCACAGCTGCACTGACTTCTTCACTACGCAACATCAATCCTATATGATAAGCATGAGAAAAAAGAAACCAAAACACCTTGAGATAAGGGAATCATAAATTTAAAATAACAAAGATGTGATATATTATCCTTAAAAAATAAACCTGAGATAACAAAAATTCCAAATGGACCAATTTTTGACACATTATATTTATCTGCAGCACAACCAAGACTAGGACATGCCAATCCTAATGCCACTGCACCAACAAGAGCTGCACATTGCCTCAAAAACACAAAACAAAATTGATATCAATTAAAACATAATCAAAATAAAGTAAACCATAAATAAATCACAAACACAAAAACAAAAAAAAAAGGAATGCACAGAAGGACAGAGAAGAGGGCACCACCCAAGGGTAATACATTGCTCCTAGCAAATTTCAAAATGGGCTGCACCCAAATCAATCCCTTCCTCTGTTTGCTTCCATTACCACCCATCTGAATTTCCAAAATGAAAGTAATATTAAAAGGAAAAACTCTCAAATGCATATAACACCACACAACTCCATTATTTTATGCAGGCTGAATTACAATGTAGAAACTTTGGTCCAAAGAATAAACAATGTATGCCCAAAAACAAATCAATATGAATCTTATATGGTAAAATTAACCATTCTTGCGAAGTCATCTCCAAAATGTCAACATCAGCTGGGTTCATATGAATGTTATATGAAAAAGTAATTAAAACCTTAAATTTACACCAAATTGAAGAAAAAAAATCAGATTAATTTATCCTTAATTTGGTGAAGTGAAGCAAATATTAATTCCCACTTATTTATTCGGCCATGAAGAAAAGAGAGAGAACCTGTTGGGATGTGTCACAGGCTCTAACGGGTGAGAGTGTTAAACGGCGAGTGACGGAGCGAAGAGTGAGGGGTTTAACGGCGTAGGCGACACTGTGGCGGAGACGGAAGGAGGAAGTGGTGGCAGGAAACAGCGTGAGGGTGAGTGAGTGGGCCATTGGGTCCGTCGAGTGCAGTGGCTGAACTGTGGAGACTCGTGATGCCAACATCTTGTGGACTCTCCCAAAGTGTCACAAAGTTAAGGTATATGCTGGATGGTAGTCGAAGGAACAACGTGCAAATTCTTGTTTTGTGGTCACTCGTCACTCAGAACGATGTAATCATTTTAAATTTTTGAACATTTTCGTCCAACGTTGGTTATTTGGAATCCCCAACGTTTTTCAATATCTATTTCGACAGCGAGAAAAATTAAGAAATTAGAGCATTGATTTATTAAAAATAAATTGTAGTATAAGTTTATATTATAATTTATTTTTAAAAACTAAAAATTGTTTTTAAATAATAAATTAAACATATTCTTACTTTTTAACATTTTTTAATATGTATTTATGAAACATTTTTTAAATAATTTTTTATTGTAATTTTGCTCCTTATACAAATAGACATTGTATCTTTTAGTTACGTAAAAAGAAAATGTTTTTTTTTAATTACGATAGACCGGTAAGTTTAGAAGTTACATTACCAATTGAAAAAGATAAAATAAGAAAATAATAGGATAAAAAAAATAATAAAGATATGATGAATTAAGAGAATAATAAACTCTTATTTTATTTTATATTAAATTTATATTGGGATAGTAAAACAAATAATATTATTTTATTACTTTTAAATAAAAATAATAAATTATAATATAAATTATATATTAAACAAAAAATTATTTTTATCAAAATTAATACAATTAAAAATTTTATTTCAATTTTTTACATTTCAACATATGTATTAAAATTAAAAGAATATTTTCATGTAAAGATATTATTAAAATTTGATATTAAATTATAATAATTTTATTCAATTTTAATGTTAAAAAAGAAATTATAATTAGAACAAAAATTATAATATTTTTAAAATATATTTTTACAATTTTTTTAAGTATACTTTACTTAAAAAGTTAGATTCATATATATATATATATATATATATATATATATATATAATTTAAAAATTGTATAATTTTTAATAAAATATTAAAATTATATATATTTTTTCAATAATTATTGCTCCTATAATGGGCGAGAGGCATTTATAAGGGTGAGACTTGCTCTAGACTTCTAGTGTTGCCACATGGTATTATCGCCCCTTTCCTCCAATGAATAAATGTGTGTAGCCTAAAGGTTTCTTTTATTATACATGTATGAATAAATGATATTTATAAATTTATTTTCTTCCCGATAAACTCATTTTTCACATATATTGTTGTTAGTAACCTACCTGCATTTAGGTTAGTAATAATTTTATAGATAATAATTTATTTTATTTTAGATTGGTAAATTTTTAATTTGTTGTTATAATTATTTTTTATTGTGTGACTTCCACTTTGTTTCTTTATAAAAAGAATGATAAAAAATAAAAAAATTTAATAATTAGTTAAATTATAATAAATTGATTTTATTTTATATTGATTAATATATATATATATATATATATATATATATTAATATAGAAATAAATTATTAAATATTTGTATGCATAAAAACTTATTTAATACAAGCTTTTTGTATTTTTTTTATATTTAAATTTTGTTATTATTTTAATGCTTTATTAATTCTAATTTAATTTTCTTATAAAGCAAATTTACGTTTACACTTTAATTTTGTTATTGTATGTTATATATTTTATTATTATTGTATACAATATTATGCTTAACATTTTTATTTTTTTCTTATAAATTCAATTTATGTTTAAACTTTAATTTTATTATTCCTTACTATGTATGGCCCTCGTGTCATTATTGTGTAATAAAACCACGATTATTTATATTTATGAATACATATTAAATAAAAAATTGTTTTTATTTATATATAAAAATTTATTGCCCTACAGATAATTTTTTGTATTTTTTTAATTTAAAAAATGGTAATATTTTAATTTTTGGTTATTTTAATTGTAGTTTTCTTACAAGTTCAATTCATGTGTATACTTTGTTATCGTTTATTATATATTGTGCCATTATTGTGTAATAAATTAATTATTAATTATATTTTATCTATCTTTACTGTCACGGGAGAGATTTAATTAAGAACGTGATAGCATTTTAGAATGAAATTGTTTTATGCATAAATGACTTTAGTTGATTCATTGATTATGTCATTACTATGTACTTAGATATGAATGAGTCCAATACTGGTACTGTATTACAAGTCTAAAAATTCTGAACAAACAACTCATAGCCTTTCTGCATTGTACTATTGTATGCTTGGGTTGTGTCTCCTCACTCAAGTCACCCCTAAACTTAAAATTTAGAGAAATTTATAGGTAATTCAGAGTTACAATGACTCAAATTTCGCTACATGTCTAATTTTTTTAAAAATTACATGTGTCATCTTGTTATTAGTTGAAAATATAATGATTGGGTCTACACAAATATTTTTTTTCCAAATTTCGGTGACATGAAAAAAAATACAACTAGGAAGTCAAGGTATATTTGGCAAACACTAGTGAATAAGCTAGCTTAAAGTTAAAAGGATAGCTTTTAGCTATAGAACAAAAATTAAAAGATAAAAGCTGAAAAACTAATTACTAAATTAAACATATTTAATAAAATTTATATTAGTACGATAATAAGCATGCCCCAAAGTTAAATTTTGAAGGCTTGAGATATTTCCTGCTAATCTAGAATGCTTTAGTTTGACAGACATTGCCTAGTGGCCGAACTGTTAATTAGTACGATAAATATTCATGATAACGTGTTGTTAAGATGCCCAGAATGCAGTATTCATCATCAAAATTTGGCATCCCTTGCTGTAATCATCATTGGTGTACAACACGGATTACAGCATATGAATATCCACAATATGCAAGAACACCACCAACACATAATCATAACAGAGCGCAGAAAAGGACTTGTTATTTCAGCTGACAAAATATGAAAAAGAATTTTCATTGATGAGATACTGACCAAAATCTGAAAGAATGATACAGTTAAAAAAAGGCTGAATTTCCCCTTTGAATCACAAGCCATTCATTCCCATGAATATAGAAGCCTAATGTTGCTAACCTTTTGACTGTAAAATAGGGCGGGCTCAATGTGATGAATCAAACTAACGACACACACTAGTCACTAACTATAAAGTTGAGTAAAACATCAATTTAATTCCTAAAACCCACATCATCGATCAATTCGGCCCCTAATTATATTTCTGAGAAAGCAAATTTAGTCTCAATCAGAAATGGCGATTTCGAAATAGAATCAATCAATCAATCTCAAATAAAATTGATGTTTTTCTCCAATTCATTATTCTACAAAAAAATTAAGAATAGAAATTCAAAAGACAACGAGAAGCGAGAACAAGGTATAAATGAGGAAGCAAACATAGGCAACGAGTCCAGGGTGTTCATCCCAGCGAGCGACTTGCACGAGGAGCGAAGTGCAAGCCCTAGTGGACCACACAACGAAAACGACAGCAACAACAGAGATAGCTAACCCACCTTGCGGAAGAAACAGCGAAAGCGCGGAAAGCATAACCATGGGCAACATGCAATACCCAATGAGACTCACGCAACGGTACAGATCCAACGTGCCGTTACGCCCCGCCAGCATGTTAAACACAACGTAGAGGAACAACGCCGAAACGGTGACCCACCCGAGAATGATTCCGAAGTGGATCTTCCCCGCGAGGAGTTGGAAAAGCCCAAACGACATCACTAAAAGCACGGGTCCAGAGAGATCGGCGTCGTCGTGGAGGTTGTTGGGATTTGCGACGCGAAGGGGGTTGAGGATCGATGTCGTTTTGTTCCAGATTTGTTTGGTGTTGATGCCGAGTTCTTCCAGGAGTGGGGGCTCGTCGTCGAAGTTGGAGGAGGAGGGTGTAGGAGTGAAGTGTGGCGCGGGAAACGACGTCGTTGCGGCGCCTATTTCGAAGGACATGAAGGGGATTGGGTTCGCGTTGCCTCGGGGCTGAAACGGCGCCGTTGGACGCCGTTGGACTGTGCCTGAGGGTCCTGGGTTTCCGCCTGAGGGGAAAATCACTGGGGGCACCGTGAATTCTTTCGGGTTCGACATTGTGGGGAAATCAAATGCAAATGCAAATGCAATTGAATTAAAATTGAAACTGAAATGAAGATGGGATTAGATTGGGGAGAAAGAAAGAAACCGAATCTGCTGAGTGTGAACGATGGGATCAGTCATGTTTCTCTTATCTCTGTTTTTCTCTGGAACGAACGTGTCATTTGCAGACTATGGTGCCGCTAATTTTCTTACAAGCCAAGCAATGAGAAAAAGGAATTATTTAAACTAAATATATTCGTGAGTACTTCTACACCAAAAAAATTGACACGAACTGCATGTAATGCAGTTTTTGCATCTTTATAGAATAAAGGCGATAAATTAAACATTGAGTAAACCAAAAAAATCACAGGCCACGTAATTCGAGTAAAATTGTGCATTCAATTCGGTACCCGACAACAGTTCCAACGATTTTTTTTCTTCTAAAATATGAAATTAGTTCTTAGATTTTATTTAAATATTTTTTGTTTTATGTCTCTAACAGTATCAAAATACCCATGTCTGACACTAAAAACTAAACGGAAGATCACATCATTCATTCATCAATAGCTTATGAGAAAGGATACAAAAAGATGGAAGTCTGAGAATAGTTCTATGCCACGAAATTTGCTCCATGCTTTTAAGGGTGCTTAATTATCAATGCTTTGTTTTAGATGCTTCTATCGATTCTGTTGGATTCCACCAGCTTTAGAGGTTTTGAGATAGATGCGTTAAAGGGTCTTTGACAATTGCACAACCAAGGAGTAGTGAGAGATATTTGGACGTGAGATTATTGTGAGGGGAACTATTCTGAAGTGGGTAAATGATTTCGTCCTTTGAGCGTCTCTTTAGATAAAGCTACTTAATATAATTTTCAAGATTTTGTTGCTATATATTTTTTGGGAACAGAAATCTTTAGTTTTTTTTTTTCCTATTCAAAGGGGATTAAAAGTCCAAAACTCACATAACTCTCCTAAGGATCCAAGAGCTAAACATATCCATGCCTAGGAAGGAATCCAAGAAAGAAGGGTATACTCGTAACTAAAAAAATAATCATTTTTTTAAGGCCCATTTTGATAGATCTATTAGCACATTAGTTCATTTCCTTATATATGAGGTAAAACTTAATAAATTTAACATGTTTTAAAAGCTTCTTAATTCCTAAAATCAAGTAACACAAGGGATGATAATTAGACTAAATATTCAAGATTAAAGACAAGATATATTTAGAGTTACTTTCAACCTAAATTGCTTCAACACCTTTACAAATAACCAATCTTATTCTCATGTAAATGGCTTAAAACTCTGCTTCAAGGGGAGTACAAAACTGAATCCTACCCTAGAACCCAGCAATGCGATGTCTTTAGTAATCCCTTAACAAGCCTCCACAAGCAGTCAATTCATTAGCTATAGAAACTACTTTGTTGACGTTTAACTTCATTGGACCAAAGGTAAGAGGAATACATTTTGTAGCTAACTGATCCTTGGATAACCTTGGGAGGTTTTTGGATGAGTCTCTGCAACAAAAATTAAAAAACTCAAATTCACAATGAACTGTGTGAGCTAAAGTATTAGGCTAAATGATATGATTTTGAAAAAAAAAAAATCTTTCTCCTCTTCCAAATATGCCTAAACAAAGAGACCAAATAGCCTATTCTAACAATGAATCTTACTAAAGAAAAAATCAGCGAGATTTTAGTCAACTACTCAAACCAGTACTATAAAAAAAAAACAAATTGGTTAAGTAATATAACATGATTCTAAATATCTTTAGTATAAAAATAATCACGAAGTACATGCATAAATGTCTCTAAGGCCTCATTACATCTAGGACAAGTAGAGTATCATGTCATCTTTCTCCTAAATCTTTCCTCATTGGTAAAGAGTTTACCATACAATAATTTTCAAAGAAACGGTTTTATCTTAGGAAAATCATCCCACTACCAAGCCAATTTAAATCATTAGATTGGTAATTAGGTAAGTAAGATTTGGAAATAAGTTGATAAGCATTTTTAAGAGAAAATATCTTATTACTAGTTAAGTCCCAATACATCATGTTTTAGCCCTCAGCAGTAGGCCTAACTTAAGCAATAAAATGATAAATGCTTTTAAGGAGAAAGCATTTTAGCTTATCCCAATACTAGGAGCCCCTAAGGAAAACAAAGTAAAAAGAAGGTCAAAATCAGAATCAGAACAAAGCAACATGCATTTTAATTTTTACTTGTTTTACGCTATTTGCATAACATAAATATGAAAATTTTTAAAAATTATTAGAAACTAGATAAAATTTGAAGAAAAATATGATTAATATACAAATAATATTAGATTAACAAAAAAAATTCCAACTTTTATGAGTTGGATTTCTCTTTTTTGTATAATTAGTCAATTATACAATTTATAGAAATTATCAAACTATTTAATTTTCTAAGTATAGACTAATTGAATTTTACAAGTATTCTTCTGACAAAATTTAATGGTATTTTATTTTAAAAAATATGTTTCTAATTAAATGAGAAGAAAAATAAGTTTTAAGAGAGAAAGTATTATATTGATTATTTTATTTAGAAAATTCCCCTCCACAAATATTTAGAAAGTCCAATGACATGTATTTGTGCTTATTTGGTTTGTTTCTGAAAACTTACTATTTGCACCATTTTAATCATAAAATTGAAAAAAAAATCAAAATTTGAAAATAATTGTAAAGTTTGTCTGATTATTATAAAATTGTTAAATAATTGGATATTAAAATATGGCAAACCATATCATAGGCTAAAAGTTAAAATATATAACTTTTATGCGGAGTTATAATTTTTTTATTACTTTTATTACAATTTTTTTTTTTATTGAGATTCAATTTTTAAGTATAAATCACTTAATTTTAAAATTGATTTATTTTAATTCAAAATTAGTTTTATGGAAGCAAATTGAATACAAAAGCCAATTGGAATTACGATTTATTTGCCACATTAGTCAAGAAAAGACCATGAAGTAAATTTGCTAGTCAAACTCAAACTTAAAAGCCTAAAATTGGTGAGGGATCTGTACAGAACCAAATCTCGCATTTCTTGCCACAACTAAACTCGGTGTAAGGAAAGAGGAACTATGTTCTAACTTTAACGGGAATAAATAATCTATATATTAACGAATAATATTTACAATATAAATTTTAGTAAAAATCGAATTTTATAATAAAGAAGAATAATCTTCTCTTTTAGTGGGCTATTTTTTTCATTAAGTTTTTAAAATCAAGTTGGTACACAAAATATTAATTATTGAATTTATTAGGTATAGATTTACGATGTTTGATTGGAAAATCAAATTGATATTATGCGGCAAAATGTAAAGTTGATAAAAAAAAACTCAATTATTGATTTTTCAATTAACAATTCACCTTCATCAAATAAAGAAATTTGGAATTAACCGTTCAAAAAGCTATCAAAAGTCAAGCTATTATTGTGCTTTACATTTATAACTGAAGAAGATATGTTTGATCTTTTAACGACGTGAGTTTGCCATTTCAACTATCTAAAAAAAGTGATAAAGACGAGTAAATTATCTGAATTATTATTATGTTTGACTAAAAGCTATTGTTTCTTATAATAGAAATGAACAAATAGTATTTGTAGTACCACAAATTCCATGTTTTTTCTGAACGTGTTGACATACATGTTATTTATTTAAATGCGCATATACACATGTGAACAAAGATAGTCTCGTGTTATTAGATTTGTTTTCTAAGCTTTGTTACAACCTATGTCTATCTATATATATATATATATATATATATATATATATATATAAAGATCTAGTATTTCTAGACAATGAAGACTTTTAACTAGTACTTTTACTTGTTAGACTATTTTAGTCATCTCTTCATCCCATAGTTGAGGATTTTTCCTAAGACGTTTATATAAATGAGCACATATTGTTATAATATTTGGTAAAAAATCTGTCACATAATTTAAACATCCTAAAAACCTCTGCAGTTGAGTTTTGTCTTTTAATTGGTCTGAAAATTTATCAGTAAATTTTATAGATCTTTGTATGAGTGTTATTGTGCCTTGATAAATATTAAATCTTAAAAATCTAATTTTATCTTGAAATATTTTTATTTTCTTGGCTGATACACAAAGTCCATTTTGTTTAATCAATTCTATAAATTTGTTTAAATGTTGTATATGCTAATTAATTCCTTTTGAAAAAATTAATACATCATCTAAATAAACTATTGAGAAATTCATATATGGATAAAATATATTATTCATAATTTCTTGAAACTCACTTGGAGCATTTTTTAATCCTTGGGGCATTACATTCCATTCGAAATGTCCAAATGGTACTACGAAAGTTGTTTTGTACCACCTATCTTGTTCTTTTACAGATATTAATAATATTCTGATTTCATATCAAATTTTGAAAATATATTGGCATTAATTAACCTTTTGATTAAATCTTGTTTATTAGGTATAGGATACCTAATCCATTTTAATACTTTATTAAGGGGCTTATAATTTATTACTAATCTTGGGACCCCTCTTTCTTGTTCTGAAGCTTTATTTACATAGAACCCTGTACAACTCCAAGGTGATTTTGACGATCTAATTAATCCTTTTTCTAAGTATTCTTGTAGTTCTTGTTTACAAAATTTTAGTTATTCTTCATTCATTTGTATTGGTCTAGCTTTTGTTGGTATATTCGTTTCATCAAATCCTTCTTCATATGACAATTCTATCTCATTTTTTTTTCTATGGTGAAATGCTATAGGATTTAAGTTACAAATTTCTTTTGTAATTCTTTTTTCAAAATTTTGTATAATCTTTTTAATGTTTTCATTTTTTTAATTGTTCTTCAAATTTTTTATATTCTATTTCTTTATTAATAAAATTAATTTATTTTTGTTTTCTTTCTATTTGATTTATTCTAGTTATTGATGCTTCTTGTACTAAATTTAGTTCTCTAATCTTTGGTGGTTGTAAAAATTCAAATTTTATTTCTCTATCTGGTATTACCTTACTAGTAATTCTTGTATTGTTAATTTCACAAGGATATAATAATGTTAGAAAGGGGGTTCCTAATATTATTTTGTTTCCTATATCTTTTACTAATATAAATGATGTGGTAAAACATATTTTGTTTTTACAAATTTTTTCTTTTGATAATTTATAATTTATTTTAAGTTTATTTCCTCCTGTAGCTGATAATTGTTCT